GGTCTGAGTTCAGAATGGTACTCCTGATTTGACGCTTCGTAAGCCAGTTTTTACTTCAAGTCGAGCTCATCTTGCTGAAGTCATCACGATAGATCTGCGCTAGAAAACTAGCTCATTCCACGCGCCTCTGCTCAGCAAAATTGCTGGTGTTCGTGATCCCTTTGACGCAGCCCATACTGTTGGAAACGACATCTACTTTTATGACATCATGTCATGGAGGTGCCCTGGCTGCATTTGATAGCCAGGTTCGACTCCTTCACCCTCAAGCTCTATTTTGCGGCGCTTTCGTTACGTATGGTTTCTATAGGTTTTCTCAAACACATATAATTGCTTCCTCCTTGGGGTTGCTGGGCACACAGCGGCTAATATCCCGTTCAGTGTTGTCACAAGGCATAGTTCAAATGTCATCGCGTCCATTCCACCAGTCTGACATGTCTTCCAAGTGACCTCTGACACCCTTGTCAATGATGTGTTTCTGCGCACCCATCATATGCGACCTCTGTAGTTGCCTTCAACGAGGCCCCATGTTCCGCCTTGTTCGATATGTTCAGTCGATGGTGCCTTGTCTCGCTCCCTTTCCCTCTCGATGCGGACGGTGCCTCATCTCTCCCCCTCTCCCTCTCAATGAGTTTATTCCTGAGGCTCACTTCTTTTCGGATTGACCCTTAACGTTTAAAATTTTCACAAACGATCCAATCTTTACCCAGGTTCTCAGTTGAACAGTGAAGGAATTTCCTGGTCACGCCGCTTTCCAGGAGTTGATCGTTGGCCTTCAGCGGATTGGAGTGCCTGCTTATACTTTCGTGATTTCGATCTTACTTTCTAGAAGGCGTTCGTATACACATGACACATCAGAAACGAACTTTGACAAGACGTTATCTTTTGTCAAAATGTCTTTCGGTGAATCCGGAATACATGTCCTGAATCCCAGGATACTGAGGTGCGAGGACATATCGTCCCTAATTCCGAACTTTCTGATTCCGGTTCACAGGCGATTTCGTGTTTCCAAGCTGCAATCTATCCTTGGCAGGTTTTCTTTCACATCGAGCATTGCCTTTGAGTCTCCTGACCGTCTCGGACGCCACTGAATGGTTATAAAGCCTACCCCAATCGACCTGCCTTTCTTCAACAGTCTTCTATTTTCTACCGACCGCGTAACTCATCAAGCAGAACATACTCTCATGTCTTCTATCGCTCCTGCTACCGATACACCTGTTGTAGTCGTCCAACCCTCGCTGGATCACTCTTCCAGTGCAACGGTGGCCGACACTGTTGCAACGGGCCCTTCTACCGCTGCGACAGTCCCCGCTACCACAGAAACCGTTACTGTTGCCCCGACTACCTCAGTTTCAGCTAGTGTTTGAAAGTCCGGTTCGGTCCGGTTTTTTGATGCCCAGGGGCGTTAACCGTAACCGTAACCGGTCTGCATTTTCCCCAGAAGTCAAAAGACCAGACCGGACCGCAAAAAGACCGCAGACCGCGGTTTTTTGCGGTCTATAGACTGGTTTCGGTCTGCATCGGTTTTAACTGGTTTATGACCGGTCTTTAGGCCAATATTTTAAAATTATTAATCGGTAAATTTATTAACATTTTTAATAGCTTCAAAACGAGCCCAAGAACGTTAAATTCTGTTAGGAATTGGTCCTTCTATAAAATAAGTCTGGTACATCTATTATTCCCCAAAGTAATTTACATTTTAATTCATATCTCTCTCGTTTTTTTACCAAATCATACGTTCTTGGGTGCATTTTAAAGGGTATTCAAGGGGCTACAAAAGACCGGTCCAAACCGGTCAAAACCGGTTCACGTTAACCGGTCTTTTTGCGGTCTTTACATTTCAAAAATAAAAGACCGTAACCGCAGGTCCGGTCTTTTGCGGTCTTGGTCCGGTCTGGTTACGGTCTTTTTCCAGTCACGAGACCGGACTTCCAAACACTAATCCCAATCAGCCGTTTGTGTGATCCGTTATGCAAGGTCTTCGTGAAGGTTTTTGGCTGTTTGATGAAGGGGACTGGAAGAACGAACAAGGTGAACTATCTGATAACTTTGCTTCTCTTCCCGAAGACCTCGCTGCAATCCGTTCTTTTCGCGACAAAGAACTTCAAGCAGACAGATGGTCATCCCCTTTACCAATCTCAGCCCTTCTCCCGGGAATGAAATTCTCCCCTATGTTTGTTGTCTGGCAGCACGACAAACCACGAGTAGTCACCGACCATAGCAGCTCAGGTTTAAACAACGGGATTCCAAGATCTGAGGGCCATGTTTCATACGACGACATGCATTCTTTTGGTCAGGTTCTACGCGAAGCCCGAGCTGCTCACCTTCAACAAACTCTAATAACATTCAAATCAGACGTCGCGTCTGCTTTTCTCAATCTTCCCGCTCACCCTCTCTGGCAGCTCCGTCAGGTTGTGAAGGTTGACGACAAACTTTACATTGTTCGTCGTCTAGTGTTTGGTAATCGAGCTTCTCCTTGATGCTGGTGTGCTGTCTCTGGTCTCATTTGTTGGATTGCCATTTGGAAATTCAATATTCTGGGATTGCATGTCTACATGGATGATTTCTTTGGTTGGAGTTTAGCTGATGACCTCATATATTTCCATGGCCGCCTTCGCCCACGTCGACAGGTTCAACTTCTGCTTCTATGGGAAAGCATATCCTGCCCTTTTGAGGATAAAAAGCAAGATCACGGCGAAGTTTTAAAAATCATCGGATTTTACATTGACATCAATCGCGGCACTATCACCCTTACACCAGACACGATCACTGACATTATTTCTAAGATCCACTTATTCCTCGCTACCACTGATCGACAACCGCGACTTCGTGATTGGCAACGACTTGGGGGGCATTTGAATTGGCTACTCAATGTTCTTCCCTGGGGCCGTCCGGCTCTAAGCGAGTTATACAGAAAAACAAGTGGTAAAGCTCGAAATCCAAAACTTTTCATTAACGCCACTATTCGAGCTGAACTCACATGGCTTGCCGAAACAATTCCCAAAGCAATCGGTGTACAATTTATTGACGACGGCGCTTGGGCAGACTCGGCCGCTGATCTTATAATTTGGACAGATGCTAGCCTTACAACTGCCCTCGCTTTCGTTTATGGATTTGAAGGCTTTGTCTATCAATTACAACCACCTCCTGCTAACATCAAAATCGACATTTTCTTTCTTGAGCTTGTTGCCATTTTCTCCGCAATTCACCATGTTGCCACCAATCTCCCAACTCCACCTCGCTGTCTTTTGCTGTTCACTGAC